TATATATATATATATATATATATATATATATATATATATATATATATATATATATATATATATATATATATATATATAAAGTGTGTATATATAATATACATAATGTTCCATGATTTTCTAATTAAATTTCATCAGTATGTTTTATAAATAAGAATAAAAAAGATATAGATTATTTTAAGCTTTATTAAAATATAACAAATAATATATCTGTAGCGCCTTGTTTCGTATTAAAAGCAAGTTTAAAAGTGATTTCGTCTATATTTCATATATTTTTATCAAAATTTTTTAATAAAGTTTCAAATTATTTATGTTTATATAATTATATTTTTTTGTGATCACATATACTCTGATAAAATGTTTGGTCTAAGACACAGTGTACCTCTGTCATGTATACGATATGCTTTGCGTAAACGCACACACACACACACACATACATCTTAAATAGTGCTAATGCAGAATGTCTTAAAAATAGAACATTTTGATCATATCATAATGAAAAAGCACTTTAAATCACTACTTTAAAAACGTCACCATAAACAATAAGATCTAGAATCAAAAATAAAAGTATTACTTAGTTTACATTTTATGAAATTAACATTATGAATAAATATATATCTTTTTATTGAAAAATTTACTTGCTCTTTCTATTTAAGTGCCATGTGAAAGAAGTTACAATGCTTGTATAAACTCGATTTTATAAAAAATGTTTAATTCTATATATATTCTATATATATATTCTATATATATTCGTTCATCTTTATATTGCATCAATTTCTATTTCAAAAATAACTTATTTCTATTCTTATTTCAAAATAATTTCATTTTTAATTTGATTTTTATTTTAAAGAGAAAAATCTTATATCCAGTACTTCTAACACCTAGAAATTTCAAGATGGTGTGTACATACGCGCGATTAAAATATCGCGCAGTTCTTTTAAAAACATGTTAATTTCAATTTGAACGCATTAGATATATACAGAAAATGAATAGAATTGCTGAGTTAAGAATACAAATATATAATAAAATTGTTGATAAGAAAATTAAATATAAAATGTCATTTATCTAGTTATAATATATATATTTTACAAACAATTGTATAACTCCTACTTAAGTTGCATAATTATTGATTAAATATTGAATCTATATATGTATACATTTATTTTTAAATATATTTTATATTTTCTCTAATATTACATAAATAATTTGAAGTCATAATTTTTTTCATTATACATTTTTAACAGTGAAACGTTAATAGCCTGATAAGATTTTACTATTATAGCAAATTCAATTGGGGAAAAGAAAATAGTAGGTCTGGAATTTGCACAAGCATCATGAATTAGTAAGACAGATCAATCAGTATCATTGCAACTGTTTAAAATTCAAATAATTTTATTTTGATTTGACCATCTAGGAATTAGGAACAAGAGGCAATATTTATAAACTATATTTTAGTTAATATAGAAACAGAAAAAGTATATTATGATTGTAATGATAAAATATTTATAATTTAATTACACTTAAAATTATATCGTATATACATCTAAAATTATATTGCAACCAGCTTAGTTGCCTTCCTCGCATAATATCTCTGTAATGCTGCTTCAAATGCTGGACCTATTGTTCTTTTCTTCCAGATAGAGGACCTATCCTTCTTTTCAATAGGTTTTTTTTCTGTTACAACTACTTCATTCTCTGAAACAGTTGTCTTACTATCTTGGACTGTTTTAACTTCTTTCACATTTGAATCTTTATTTTTTGTATCTGTAGTACATTTATTTGTTTCCACATCATTCACATCATTTTTTGGTTTCTTTCTCTCTTGTTCTTGTATTTCTGATTTATCAGTATCTTTATTTATTGATGAAGTGACAGTTTGATTTTGTTGTAATTTCTCTTTGCTTGTTTCACTTTCTGAATCCGATTCATAGGTCTCCATTGCTCTTTGTCTGTATTGCCTTGGCTTTCTATGTTTTGCAGATGCTTTCAATTTTTCATCTGTTGTATTTGTCGCCTTATTCATTGTTGTATTTTCTCTTGCTTCATCTGTACTATTTGCTAGCATTTTTGATTCTCTCAGTTCAGTGTCCTTTTCCTTTTTCTTACAACTTTCATCATCATTGCTCTGATCCTGATAATTAACAGTCTGTTCATACAGATGACGATAAAATCCAGACATATCTTGTTGTTTTGTTACATCACCAATAGCTTCTAATCTGCTCATTTTGTTCTCCTCTTCTTCAATCTTCTTGAATTCTTCCAGCTTTGCTCTATATGCTGATGTGACAAAGCTCTCCTTATCTGCATACATCTCACCTTCTGCTTCACGTTCTTTCTGTACCATTCTTTCTATTCTATGTTCCTGTTCTTTTTTCCTTCGCTCAGCTGTTTTTAACAAATTTTCTATATACCTAGGTTTCTTGTCTTTATGCTTGTTGACGTCTACTTTATTTTTGGTTTGTTCCATAGTGTCGTATACTTCATCGTACTGATAAATTGTTGGGTCTTCGTTTAATGCTTTCTGTATGTCAAGTTTTGTTTGTCTTTTCATCTTGTTCTTTTCACCTTCTGCTTGAAGAGCCTTCCGAACCCAATCAGTGGCATCATCCTCATCAGAAGCATTATCATCTCCGAAAACATTAACGAGTTTAGGTGTTATTTTCTGCTGTTGCTTCTTTGGCAAAATCAGACCATACCTGAACATTTCGAGTAACAATATGAATATAAAGATTTAATAGAACCTTTGATACTTAAATTACTTACTGCTTGTTATCAGCCATTGCACTAATATCAATGTCTCTGTAATAAAATGCGTAAAATCAGGAAATCCGAAAACATCAGTGAAACCTAACCAACAAAAATCTTAAAATAGCATAGCCGCGATCTGGCTATAACCAAGATAGACAAACTCACAAGCCGTCGATGAGAGTATTGCATGAATTTAGGGGTGCGTTCCGAGTTGCGCATGAAGCGCGCATTTTTTCCGGGAGCGGTGCACTTGGACACGGTGCATTTGGACATAGCCAATCACAGCACCGTGTGATTAGAGACATTTGTAGGGTCCCTTGGAACAGCGACTTGTGATTGGACTGTGTCCGATTGCCCCGTGTCCAACTGATATACACCCCGCATTTCCTACAGTATACGTAGGTTGCGTTCCGTTTCACGCATTATGCGCGCATTGCCTACAATATATGTAACATGAACTATAGATAAATGCGCGCATATGCGTGAAACGGAACGCAGCAGTAGTGTCACGTCCGACCGACCAGGCTGCCAGCCAATGATAATTTTTGTCCAAATAATCCTTTATCTGAGACACTCCAGGTACAAAACCTTTCTTTCCCAAAAGGAAGGCATCTCAGATGGCATCACTACTATTCAGACCCCCTTCTAAAGGGATCACAAAAGTTCAGTAGCAGTAGTGACCGGCGTAGCAGTTAAGCCCGTATCAGACTACAGATTAAGATTGAGATTGAATTGAAAATTGGCCAATCAGACCAAACTTGAGCTTAGTGAATTTTGCTCTGATTGGCAGTAATTCTATTTCTACTCCCTCTCATTCGAACATTCTTATACGGCACATTTCCTCCTACACCTAAGCGAAACGTGCGATGTTCCTCCCTAGTGCCCATCGGTCAATTACAAGTGATTCGAATATTCGAACTCGCCGCCGCGCGATCTAGAACGAGGTTCCCCAGAGTCGGCAGCATCTAAAGGTCCAGGAGGTACCGATCCACGTAAGCCACGAGAGTGCCATCCAGGGGTACAGAGAGCAACCGCACGGTGGACGACCACTGGTAAGTCATTATCTACATTATTTCTATACGCGCGAAATTACGATTAAAGCCTGCGACTGTCCGACCCACCGTAAGGTTACACTACAGTGATTATACTACACGTCTTGCTCGAATCCATCGTGATTACCCTTGATCGCACGAATCCCCGGGTAGAATCACGTGATTCATTTAGCCCGAAAAATTGCGATCTGATCCCGTGCTAGGGTTCGAGCGCTATTCTTCACGGCAGCGTGGCCGCAACCCGCCGGGACGTAACAGTAGATTGCTTTCCAACAAGAGACACAAGTCGACACAGGGTGCTTTCCAGTTGCGTACACTGTGTTACACAAAACCAGTTTATTGGTTGCATATTATCTTACAAGATATTTTAGATAATATGTGACCAATAAACTGGTTTTGTGTATGTGTGTGTCAAGATGGTTAAACAATTGGAAGGCACTCTTTCTTACTCACTAAATGTGGAACAAAGATAGAATGATGTTTATGTCGACTTGTGTCTCTTGTTGGAAAGCAACCGTAAAGGTCGTTCTACATTATGCAAGATTCACACCGCGTTCAATGTCCGATATACGACGTCCGATATCCAATAAGAGAACAGCTTTCCAATGGAGAATTGAATTTTCTATTAGGAAGCTCTTCTCTTATTGGATATCGGACATCGTACATCTGACGCGGTGTGAATCCTGCATTAGTTGCAAGCCGACAACAACAGACGCAATTCTTATTGCGACCGCCAATCAGAAGCATCAATGGTGCTATTGACTATCTGCTTGCGATCGGCTTGCAACTAATGTAGAACGACCTTTAGGCCCGATCTACAATAGTTGGAGTAGGAGTAGGAGTAAGGAGTAGGAGTAGGAGTAAGAAATAAGCAGTAAGTAAATGGACTAATCATAATCGATTATTCTTGAATTGTGAGAATGGAATTGGCCAATTTGCTTACTGCTTACTCCTACTCCTACTCCTTACTCCATCTATTGTAGATCGGGCCTTACATTAGCAGTACGCTGGCAGCGTGGTGGGGGAACTCACAAGCGAACGCCCGTGTCGTGAGCCTACAGTACGGGCGCTCGTTTATGTGAGTTCCCCCACCACGCTGCCAGCATGCTGCTAATGTAACAAAATTGAGAGCTCTGGTTCCAAATAGTATATATTTCAGTGGAACCTGCACGCAGCCACAAAAGCGACACTTCGGACAATTGGGCGCGGAGGTCGGTAAGTCAGAAATTTTATTTGCCTGCGGCATTATACTCAATCTGTACGTAACAGCGGCAATGGCTGCGTTCAGCAGAGAAAGCTGCTTTGCAACTGTTGTAAAATTCGTCAATCTTGGATGGAATCTTGATTGGAATATGCTCTTAATTTGGATTGAATCCAAGAGCATATACTAATTAGATTCACGAAGAATTTTACAACAGTTGCAAATCAGCTTTTTCTGCTGAACGCAACCATTGATACATTTCAAATATTGAAAATTCAAACATTGTTCAAACATTGTTTCATTGATATAGATAAGTAAATATCAATGATACTTCTTAAACACTTGTTGACTTGCCATAATAAACAGTTTTTTTCGTTTTCTTTGTCGCGAGAAACACGTTACACACCGACACACTTCTCCACACTTCGATGTCGATAGGTTAGAATGTTTTCCGTTTTTGTTCCGTTAACAGGGCCCCTATTTTTATAATAGTTGCGTATACGTAAGTTTTACTGTGCAGGTTTAATCATACTAAAAAATACTTGCGCAATTAAAATTACGTTTACGCAAAAATTTCAAGAATAGAGACTCAGTTCCGTGCCACGTGAAACCCATCTATCAAACAACGGAACGGAATGAAAACGCAATTATTCTGATTGGCTGACCATATCTCTTTTTTCGTAACTGTTCCGTTACGCTATTTCTTTCTCCATCTGAACGCACCCTAAGGGCCATCACACACAAAATTACATAGGCTGCGTTCCGAAATTTACTGCCAGTACTGAAATTCTATAATATACGTAACATGAACTATAGATTTTCAGTACTGGCAGTGCATTTCGGAACGCAGCCATAGACGCATATGCATAGCATAAGATCATATGGACCAATGAGCATTGAATATTAAGTCGCCATATTGATGATTGATACTTAATATTCGATGCTCATTGGTCCATACTATCTTATGCTATGCATATGCGTCTATGTAATTTTGTGTGTGATGGCCTTAACACGGAACGCGGCCTAGCACATATGCAGGATTCACACCGCGTCCGATGTCCGATGTACGACTTCCGATATCCAATAGGAGAACAGCTTTCCAATGGAAAGTTGAATTCTGTATTAGAAAGCTGTTCTCCTATTGGATATCGGACGTCGTACGTCGGACATCGGACGCCGTGTGAATCCTGCAATAGAGGATATTTACGATATATCTCCCATGATTTATTTCGGAAATACGTATCTATTTATGTGTGATTCAAGTATTTCATGCTCTATTCTCTATGTTTCATATTTGCAATCGCAGTTTGTTCTTTATAACTGCATTTTTTATCCATTTTGTGATATTTATATATTCTTCTCTTAAACATCGATAATATTATGTAAGACAGCTAAGTTTAAAATAAAGAAAAGGAAACATTCAACAACAAAAAATGAGAGTATCATAAATAAGTTTTTATTTATAATTTTTGTATTGTTTCTTGAGAAGCAGCTAATATTGTGAAAAACGCTAGTTGCGAAGTTTACAAAAGGACTGATTCGTTGTCAAATTTGATTAATAGCGTAAGATTATATATATTTGGCTGTCTCACATTTTTCCACTTTCACAGTCAGAAAAAACTTGAGCTACCGATTACTGCGCAGGTACGTGAGTAGCGATTTACAGTATTGAAAATTCGGTGTGTTCCAAAATGTGCATTGGAAAGTATTTAAATCGTATTGCAAATGACTCACGCCCTAACAATCGATAGCGAATTACTCATGATAGCACAGTGATCCGTGAAAAATGTCAAGCGGTAATTGTGTGCGGAACACGTTTCGCATGAGATAACGCGAAGGCGAGGGAGAAAACGAGAGAAGCGCAACGTGACAACACAGTGATCGCCCGATAGTTGACAGTAGTGGTGGAGCCGACGGTGACAGTGGTAGTGGTAGAGTAGCGGTAGTAGTAGCGATAGTAGTAGTGGGATGGTAGTAGTGGCGACAGTGGTAACAGCTGTAGCAGAGAATTTTTCGGAAAATTGTGGATCGAGTTTCCTCGATTGTCGAGTTATTTTGACACGCGTCGTACATATGTGCGCACCTGCCGCGTTAGGCTTTTCGACGATGGGGTCGCGAGCGTTGCGAGACGCTCATCGACACTATTAGCGCGGAGCGAAGACAGTGCGGGTTATTAAAACGGTTAAATGCCGTTGGTGGAAGTTGGTATATGATATGCGATTTCTGGCACGCCATGTCGTGCGTTCCCAGCTGATGCTCCGTTTGACACATCGGGGACGTGTTCCTCTGAGTCTTTAACGTGTCGTGAATTGCGTAATTCTAGTGGGAGCATAGCGCGCATTTTCTCATGCGTAATTCGACTGTGATCCAATAAATACGTCGGGAGAATGGCGGAGCTGGATGATTTGTTTCACAAGGATCAATATGTAGGCCCGGAGCGGCTCACCGACCTGTGCTTCAGACTGATCTGCGAGAATCTCGACATAATCTCGGTCAAGGGGAAGCGTGGTCACCGGATACTGAGGAAAGGATTAACTTTCCCGAGCGAGATATGCGACAAGATTATCGAATATGCGCAGCACAGCGAGGCGACCGAGGACGTCGATTGTTTCTTCTCGATTTTCAAGAATCTGTCGGCGACTCGACTCAAGCACGTGAAAATCTCCAATTGCAGCTTGACCGACAATTCGGTTCACACACTCGCCAGCCATAAGCTCTACGACTTAGAACTTACGGATTGTAGTAACTTAACAGAACTCTGTATTGAGCATATTAATAATAATTCAGAAAATCTGCATAGCTTAGCGTTTCACGGCACTTCCATGGTGATACCATCAAGTTTAAACGTTGGTAAGAGTTTTCAGTACAGTTATAATCTACACACACACACACATGGATTATGTATTTAATATCTAATAACACTTAATACTAATAATAATAACATCTAATAATAGTAATAAAGTAAGCAAAAGCCAATAAACCTATGTAAAGCCATTTCCCAAAAACCTACTCAGTAGGTAAAGTAACATTCAATTAAACAATCATGATAAAGAAATCTTGGTTCTCTTTGTTTTGATTGAAACGCTACTCCACCTGTCAAGTAGGATTTTGGAATACAGTCATGTAGGATACATAGTTGGTTACTGTTCCATTGTATCTTTTCCATTAATAAGTTATGAATCAAATCAGTCAGCATTTTAGTATTGATTATTGGTTTGTTCATCCTTGTGTTTTCCAGATTTAGAACAAAAAATGTCAGATTCTGTATTTCTTGGCCTTTATTTGTAACTCTTTTATCAATGAAAGTGCCTCTAAATGTAACTGAAAACTAATCAAAAGATTTATAAGTCACATTAAAAGATACTTTTATTGATAAAAGAGAATTCAAAATAAGAACTAATTCTTATGAGTCTGACAATGATGTAGAATATTCTCCTCCTTTACATTCATATAAAATCAACTCTTGTTTCACGAATCTTAAATTAAAAGTGTAAACTTTTAGAATTATATGACCTATCAAGAAGTTACTCTTAATTATTGTTATTTTATCATTAAGAAATAGACCTATTGCCATGTTTCAAGGAGTTTTCTATAACAGTATCCACATCCATCTTGTCATAAATTGGTCAGCAGTAACTATTGCAGGATTTTCCAGTATAAACAAACTTGAACAAATTTAAACATTCTTGCCTCTAGTAGTCTTTGATAATCACTTTTCCAACAGTAAAGAACATATCCATTCTTGATATTCTGTGATATCTCATATTTAAAGTGACTTTGTCAAATCCATTTAATCTTCCTAAAGCTTATTCCAAAGGTAATTTGATGGTCACTTTTGCAAGTTGCAATGAGTGTTTTCTCTGAAGATTTGCATACAGACCAGATAGGAATTTCTTTATACATCTCAGAATAGGCATTACGTCAGCTAAGAAAACCAAAGAAATTTCTCATAGAAATGCTTTCCCTATGCTTATTCCTTCATCTGCAAATAGTAATATTTGTATTAAAACAGTCACTGAATTTGACATGACTTATTAATGAAGTATAGATTTATTTTAAGACCAAGAAGTAATAGCTAACAAGAAGATTAAACTATTTGTTTGATTTCGTTTCAGGTGAAAACTTATCCATTTACTACAAGCGTGAATATGTATTTAAAACACCCAACTTAAAGCGCTTATCATTAGGATATGTGGGAATACCTACGTCGGAATACCTCTTGCTTCTAGAGGGATTAATCCACCTGACACACTTGGACTTGTCAAACAGTTCTAACGTTGATACCTTTGAATTTTTTTATCTGGTACCAAGCCTAGTATCTTTAACTTTGTACAATGTCAAAGTCAATAGCAATTCAAAATCCTTTGTTAAAAATATCTGTCGGCTGAAGAGTTTAAGGTAGATCATAAGACGTTATCTACAATATATGGAACAAACAATTTAATATCATGTGTTTAACACATCATAGGTTTTGTGTCAATACAGTGTTTATATAGAGCGCACTGTTGCAGGCACTTGGATATCTCGCAGTCAATTTTTAAGAATGGACAATTTGACAATCCCAATAAGATTCTATCTGACTTAGTAAATGGTTTACCACAATTGGTCTCCTTAGACATCGGCGGTACAAATCTCGCGGGGAGAGGCGTAGCCGAACGTCCCAGCGACACAAATGTCGAGGACTCCAATCTCAGTCAGCTTTCCGACATACCGGGGCTCGCGTCTAGAATACACAGGCCCTTGCAATTCTTAGGTCTCTATGGTACCGCCTACGGTGCTTGCAGGAGGCACGACATACCGGCAAAAGTGGTAAGTTCCCTTATGTGTATTTTTAGCTCGTCAGTCACTGGCACACTCGTGCGCGTTCGTGTTATTATCCTTGGTCCTGTTGATGCTCATCGTACGGTGTGATTTAGGTAGCGGGCGATGCGAACGAAGACCAGATATTAATTGCAGCTGCAGTTTGTATGGACAATAAGCAAGAGTTGTTGCAAAAAGTGCTGAGCGACTTATATCATGTGTTTAGATATGAGAATTGTCGTAGAATGGATCAGGCTTTAAGTACCGTGTTAGAAGCGATGGAGAAGCATCCAGCTCAGAAGCACATACAAATATCGGGAAGGTATCGTATTGTCTTATTTGCAAGTCGTTTATAACATCGAGAAAGAAAAAGAGAGACACAGTTGCGGGAATCATTGGTCAATTTTACACGTATGTGTCGATGTTGCAGCGCTACCTTATTTTATATAGTGAAAATGAAAGAGAGGGTTGAGCTAGTTGCACGAATGAAAAGACGAATTATCAGTACTCTTCTGGCTGGTATGAGTATGCATCGAGACGAGGAGACCATGATGCGGAACGGTTGTCTGGCATTGTGTCAATTCCGCATACCACAAGACGTGGTTTGTGTCACTTTGGGTGTTCTTTTATGTTTTTATATTGCTACGCGATACGAAATATCCGAAACGGGCAGCTCGCAATGCTTGCCGACCGAATTAGCTGATCACGTATTGTTTGCAATGAAATTCTTGAAAGAGTCACACTTATTCGTGATTATTCACCGAGATTTGCCGTAACGTATTGACAAAGCGGTACAGTCAGGCGTTCTTCCTGTCGCTAATAAAATTGCTATCTTGTATTTCTTTTAGATGTCAAATTACGAAGCGCTGGTTAAGGTGCTTCTGCATTCGGCCAAGAACTCGGAGCCGGAGAGTTTTGTTCAAAGAATCGGCATATACCTGTTAAATTCTTTGGCTTGTCAAGTGGAAGGCAGAGAGAAAAGACTGCTGGGCAAACTGGGTTGTGTTAAAACTATGTTAGATTTGGTGGAATACAGGGTACAAACCGGTGTATTTGACGATGTATTAGAGGTCGCATGGTCGACCATGTGGAACATGACTGATGAAACGTCTGTAAATTGTCAACGATTCTTAGACGATAAAGGCATGACGCTCTTTCTTTTGTGCGTAGAGGTATGTTCTATCACGAGTTACAACACACTTAATCCATGTTCACAGTTTCACTTAATTTAAACTTTAATAATATTTTCTCACACAGCAATATCCGCATAAAGAAGAATTATTAAGAAATATGATGGGTTTACTCGGTAACGTGGCGGAAGTCGAATATCTTCGGATCCATCTCATGCAGGAGCAATATGTAATCGTATTCGCCAACCTATTACGCTCCAATAGCGACGGAATTGAGGTTTCGTGTCCATTTCTCCTTTTCTTTAGCTTATCATAGCCCTTATTTACTCGAAAGCTTGACTTTAGAAGATACTAATAAAACACGTGCATCTTCTCTTCACTCACATAGGTTCCGTATAACGCTGCTGGTATATTGGCACATATGGCTTCTGATGGCGTTGACGCTTGGACAATAGCAAAGCCGACCCGTAATGAGGTTCTTGAATATATGGTACAAGCAATTGAAAGTTGGGATCTGTCCGCAGAACGTAATATCAATTATCGCTCATTCCTACCTCTGTTGCGTCTATTGGATGTATATCATACTCCTCCATGTCAGCATTGGGCAGCTTGGGCTCTGGCTAACCTCACAAAAGTATACCGTACGTATACTATGAGAAACACACGTATATACATCGTTTTGGCTCTCTACTATTTTATTATATCTAACCTGATTTGTTCACAGCCAACAAATATTGCGTGTTGGTGGTGAAAGAAGGAGGAATGGATAAGCTGCAAAAAGTGATACTAGACCCCAGGCCGTACGAACGTATAAAAGAACTCGCCAACTATGTGATTGAAAATTGCTGTAATTACGATTGCCATTCAGACGACGTAAACATTTCTCATTCATCTTTAGACGCGGAGTATAGTCTAGACGGCTAAGACAGATGTCGATGGTGTCTTCTGCACGTCCCAATCTGTTTTTTTCAGCTGAACTGAAACTCTACATTTCTTTTCAATGCTCAGTTGTACGCTAGTTTCATTTTACAGGCGAGAAAGTACAACTGAAAAGTTCAGCTTAAAAGAACGGACCTCATGTTGTCGTTCTAAACAGAAACTGAACATAACCAGTACCATTAGCGGACGGAGTAGGCAGGTCAGATTGAAAGTAGACGCGTTGAATCAACTCCACGATAGTTTGCCCGGCGAAAGAGGTAGACACGTGATGAACGGTCGCTCAAACTAGAAGGACTGTATGTATGCGTATGTGCGTGTATGAAAGAGATGCGTTGAATACTTTGAGTCCACTATTCAGTCATTGGCATATATTTATCGAACCTTATTGTGGATAATTAATAGTCAATTGAGCCGTTCATCCAATGAATGTACATAGTACGCTTGTATCGTGACAAGAGCGAAGCCGAACAATTACATGCGCGCGCAGCTGAAACGATCGCACGCTTATTACATTTGTCTTTAGCTACATATATTAACTTTCTTACGGTGTATGAATGTTTGTTCTCCGGTTTTTCTCTCAGCCTTTATCCCCCTTCTAATCAACAGTATATGATTTGCTCTCGTTAGGCTGGAGTTCCATGGCATGTATTTTCCGCGTATCGCGTAACCAATAAATTGCGACGTTTAGTATTTCTGTTGGAACTTCTAAAAGAATAGAAAGATGTGATTGGTTACGCGTTACGCGAAAACTCTGTGCTATGGGACCGCACCCTTACATTAGGACTTTTTAAACACTATAAGATGAAAGAACGTTCGTAGAAGGACTGCGTGTAAATAGAAGTAAGAAACAGCGGTATGAAGTATATTAGGTTTAAATGTTTTGTATACTACCGTTAAACTACTATTAAAGAATAAAAGGATTGACATATGTACATGTATTAGATACCACAAATTGCGCAACTAAACATATATACTTTTAATGAATTTCTAGATTTGTCTTTTGATAGGTTGGGCAACTTGACATTACAATGTATGGAGGAATAATTATAGCGACTGTTACCAGTGTCAATGTAACGTACACCAGGCGTCATATATGTCTTAACGTTATAAATTAGCGTTACAATTTTCAAGCAAATATCAGATTTTATGAAATTTTCACGAATCAGTGTTACAGCATATATGACGCCTAGTGCGCAAACAATAGTTCTAATATTAAGGCATATATGATGCCCGGTGTACGCAACAATGTAAGCGCTCAATGCGCTCAATATATACCCGGTTTGTTCGATGTGTAATATAATATCGTCTAAGATTGCCGCATAAATATGTGTTTCTTCTCGTAACCCAGAAGAAATCCTCATAATTGCAACGATCAGAAGGACTGTGCAGATTTCTAATATGTAAAAAATTTCTTTTTCATTCATTCTTTTTTATCCCCCTCGATAATAATATGCGTTCCGTTTCTTCTCACACTTCTAAAGAAATCCTCGCAATTTGCAAGAAAGGCTTTTCTTCCTTTCTTTCATCCCAGACAATCCATCTGTCGATTATATAATAGAAACGCGAAGTAATAAAAATAACGATGACAGAGCTATCAATACTGGCTTTTGAATCTTTCCGTCACAGATATAGAACCAAAATTACGCATTGCCAAAGCGCAAACGAAAAATAAGCCGAAGTCGAGAGGGCAATTCCGAGCCCAGCTGCGGGATAATTCTGTCCGTTGGCCACGTTTTCCTTGTGTTTTTTTAGAAAAGCCGCGTTATCGTGAGCTTGACAAGTGGCGCCACCCCGTTCGCCACGGTAACGGTCGGTAAAGCAGAGCGAGACGATTCGCTTGACGTGACAATGAACAGGCATTGTGATTCTAATGTCGTCGTACGAAAATAAACAGAACACCTCGTGTTTGCGGAAGTCCGTAACAGGTGTTTTTTGCCCCCTCTTTTGCTCCTCATGTCGCCGCTGCTTCCACAGCAGCCTCCTCTATCCTCCGTCCGAGACAGGGAAGGGGTCAGAAATGTAAGCCCATCCGTTCGCTAACGTAGGCACTCGTCTCGCGTTCCTCGCGCAAACTCGTCAGCCGTTTCGGTCACGGAAGTTTGAGTCCTTGAATGCCCGAAGCGATACCCTCGCGAATCGGGATTCCAGAAAGTGACCGAAAACTCGGAGGACCTTCGAGTACGACGTCGTCGTCGCATTCGTAGAGACTCGAATTAGCGAAATTTTGCTAGAATTTTCTATTTTTTAAATATTTTTTTAAATAATTCTATTTTTTAAATATGCAAAAATACATATACATACACACATATACGTATGCGATATTGTACGTCTTGAAATATACTCAAATATATTTTCACACCGGAGATGCGAAACAACTTAATCGGAATATCTCGAACATATTTTCATTAGTCTATCCATCGTGTTAGAGCGGAGGAATCGAGGAACTTTCGTTCTGTGAACAGCAGGCTGCTCACTGCGAACACTTTAAGGTTATCCCGCGATAAAAGAAAAAAACTCACGATGTTGGTATAGGAACGGGAAACGTCTTCTGCGAGGCCTGCCTAAGCAGCTGCACAGGTAAAAGGCAGGTGCAGCTTTACGCTGCGAAATATATTATTAAAACATCCAATTCCTTGTGTGGTAATTTCAAAGAGAGGGCGGTCCGATAAATTGTTAACTGATTCGTAATGTGTAATTATATTACACATCGAACAAACCGAGTATATATTGAGCGCATTGAGCGCTTACATTGTTGCGTACACCGGGCATCGTATATGCCTTAACATTAGAACTATTGTTTGCGCACTAGGCGTCATATATGCTGTAACACTGATTCGTGAAGATTTCATAAAATCTGACATTTGCTTGAAAATTGTAACGCTAATTTATAACGTTAAAACATATATGATGCCTGGTGTACGTTACATTGACACTGGTAACAGTCGCTATAATTATTCCTCCATACATTGTAGTGTCAAGTTGCCCAACCTATCAAAAGATAAATCTAGAAATTCATTAAAAGTATATAGGTTTAGTTGCGCAATTTGTGGTATCTAATACAAAAATGTACGTATGTACATATGTCATCATAAATGTACATATGTCAATCCTTTCATTCTTTAATAGTAGTTTAACGGTAGTGTACAAAACATTTAAACCTAATATACTTCATACCGCTGTTTCTTACTTCTATTTACACGCAGTCCTTCTACGAACGTTCCTTCATCTTATAGTGTTTAAAAAGTTCTAATGAATGAATCAGGGCCGATTTTTCCAAACTTTTGGTAAATTAACCAACAGTTCAGTCGTATACCTGTCTTTGTCTAATTTAAAAGAAAAACAAAGACAGACATACGACTTAATTTTAAGGCTCATATCAATAGTTATTATTTGAAACTCTCCTCAAGGGCGCGCGCGAGACACGCAAATCTAAATTCAAAGTTAGATGAGAAATTTTTCAGTTAAATCGCGCAATTACGGATTTAATGTCATATATCATAATTTAAGACTCCTGGCTCCTCGCTGCGGAACTCTCGATTGATGACGTCAGAAACGAGAAAAAGTGTGCCCAAAATTCTCGCGAAACTTGCTGAAATAAAAGAATACGTCCATAAACTGACCCTCGGAATCGCGATTGAACACATTTGTAAAATATTCCGAAAACTTGCCCCTCGCTTTAGCAAACAATAAATTGCTGTGACACGCGACCTACCTTTTTAACCTACATTTCCTCGTGTGAACTCGCCTCTGACATCATAAATCCACGACGAGGAACCAGAAGCCTCGACTGAAAGATTTGGATTTAACATCAAGTTAAAATCTGAATACTTCACATGAGGCAAGTTTCAGATGACAACTATTAACGTGAGCCTGAATCTCTAGATCTCCAGATCTTGGTCAAAACCTCAACTAACAACGTTCTCAACTAACAACGTTCTCTCGGCCAATGGGCGACCCTTCTGACATCGAAAATCCGCGAGAGCACTCGAAATCGTAAAGCGCTTTACGATCGCGCGAAACCGGAGGAGTCGAGGATGCCGTCGACAAGGACAACACGCGAAAAGAAGCGAAGTGGTGAATAATTCAACGATCGGCCGAACGACTGGACGGCGAATCCCGAATCCGGCGAAGACGGCCTAGACGAGCCAAACGTGCACGGTGGAGCAAAAGAACAAAGATCGCGCCGTTGCGCTCGTCGTCCGTGGGGGATGCCGTACACAGCTCGCGCTAATGAACCAGCAAGCCTTTGTGCTGCTTTTATTCTCTTACGTCATCAGATTCAGCGGCACGACCTGGTTGCGCGTTCTCGGCGCGTAGAGCACGTAGGATGTGAGCGAGGCGGCGAGCGAGGCGAATACGGACGAGACCGACCTCTCGCGGCCCGTTCCCGAGATGAACCCAGGTATAATAGGTTTTCCCTGAGATTTCCAGCCGACTCAAAGCACACACGCAGAACATCCAACGACCCGGGCTCTTCGTCGGAACCTTTGTTAGGTTGAGACAGGTTAGGTCTCGCTGGAATGTGTCTCTTTTGAAAAATTGTTTTTGCATGTAACGAAATGGTTTTGAAAGCTTGCATGGAAGCTTGGTTTTTCTCAAAGGCTCTCGTCACACTTTGCATGAAATACAGAGAAAAACAAAGTGTCGTGGACTCTGTAGATTGTCTGTCAGGCTGAACAAGGAAAATGGGAAGAGCCGAGTTGACGAGCGAAATTCGACGACCTTGTGAGAACAGGCGTCGAGCCTTCGGGTCTCCGAATTCCTCGCTCTGTTGCACGTCGAGCTCGAGTCTGAGAATTCGCCAGATCAGACCAAGGAAAAGGCCTCGCGACGATGCAACGCGGAAAATCGCGCGCGATTAACGACGCGGCGCGATAAGGCGAGACTGCCCGACCTCTCTTCCGCCAGGAACCCGAGCGAACAAGCAGACGACGCGTCGTCTTTTTCGAGTGTGTACAAAAGTTCGAAAACTCGGGGCGATCTCCCGAGGCAATGCAGGCTCGATGAAGATAACGCGCGCGCAGAGAATGTGCCCATAAATCAGAGCGAGAGAGGGCGAGGCAGCGGGGAGAGGATTGGGGGAGGCGCAGGCACAGGAGGAAGGAGGCAGTGGTGACCCAGTTGATAGAAACGCGAACGATAGCGTCGGTCGACGCGGGGCCGGGAGGATAGGGGTGAGGCTAGTCGCACGTAACGGCGGTGACTCATTCTCCGGCTCCGACTGCGACGGCATGTCGATCTTTGCACCCTTCCACTCGCTCCCCGCTCGTCCTAACCCCGCTGCTGCACACGTGTGTCGGTGTGTGTCGGTATGTGTGCGCGCAAGGCGCGCGCGACACGTGCACACACATGACATTTCGAGTGTATCTCGAATTAAACCGTAAACAGAACGTAGTACAACCTTCTCGCAACCACGCGGCACCGGCGCCGATGTCAATGATCCCCTTTGCTGCCACCACTTATTGAATAGCGCGCGCGCGACCGCGTGTGTCACACTGCTGTGTTTCTCTTCCGCCTCTACAGGGTGATCGAAAAATCGTGCACGCCATGTGTCACGTGATGCGTTGACTCCTCCGCGAACGATTAGCTTTTACACCCTGTATCAGACTGCCGACTGGAAAATGAGGATTGCGAATTGAAGATCGGAATTTGAGCAATTAGAACGAAGCGAACCAAGACCGAAGTTTGTTGATTCGTCAAAATCTGATCTGTAATCTGCGATCTCCAATCCGTAATGTGACACGAGTTACGATGACCGGGAAGAGATCTTGACGGTGACAAATCCCGCATTCATGCATTCTAGCTTGTCACATTCGACTCTCGACACTTTATTAGACAGTAAGGGCGGGCCCAGGCGTCAAGTAATTACTTTTCCCGGTTTTCAGAGAATTAAGTTTTCATGATCAAAATCGGATTTTATATTAAAGACAATCTAAATTTACTTTCAAATGCTTTGTAGCCAATAACATCCGAAAACGGTTTCAAATATAAGATCTGTCTATGAAGTGTCCTAAGAAGACTCTTATCTAAAGCAGAGAAATTCCCAATTAACATAAAACATTCTAAAGATTCTCCCTTGTTTCTTCTTTAATCTATACTTAATTTATATTTAAAAGGATGAAATAACTTTGAATCGTGGCGATCGTCACTTATCTTAATTCACCTTAGCATTCAGCTGTCTCTGCAGACGTCTCTATCCATTATTTTTTAAGAAACAAATCATATAACATCACTCATATTTCGCTGCGCTCAACACATTATCGAGCATTCGACTGAGTCCACCAATTTCACGATTAATCATTGATCGAGCAGCCTGGCCTCTCAGTGTTTCTCAGATCGGTTTCCTCATTAGACTTTATCATATCAACGTCCACAAGTGCACCATTACGTCAGTATTCAAGTCAAAGTACGTTTGCGGCGCGCAAAAGAACGAACGATGGTCAAACCTTAGCGAAGCCCCTTCACTCAACACACGCAGTTAACAACCTGTTAACCCGTCATCGGAAAAATGAGGCCTGAGAGACTCCACGCACTCCATTTCGTTCCCTTTAAATCTTGATAATATCTCAAGAATCGTTTCTTATGTCAGCTGTTATTGAATCTCAATATTCCACAGAATCATGAGATCGTCAAGAGTTTGAGAAATTCTACAAATACAACCAAGAAAAAAGTGGAAAGAAATTCACTAGCTTCTACCTTTCCATGACGGATTAATGCAACTTTCCACGACACAGTGTACGTTACACTGCATCGTGCGTTACGTAATAGCTACCCGATTAGCGTTACGACGCAACACAGTACGTATTATACATATACACGTGTATATACATATGTATATATATACATGTGTATATATATATATATATGTATGTATACATATCTACACTTTCGGCTCCCACGCGTCACACTCGGCGGCGCGTCGTCACGTCGCCACATACGTCACACTCGTCAATCGTTTCATGTACCGCCGCCGCCGCCGCCGCCCGTCGGCTCTCCACCGCGGTTTCGTACGTAGGTAAACCAAACGTGTCCGAGTGCGCACGTGCGTCTGGCTGCGTGTCTCGCGTGTCCACGTTCGACGAACGACGATAGCTCGGGAGAACGAAGACGAGCCGGGGGGCGGAAGGGAGCGGTGAGGCGGGCGAGGGTGCGAGAAAGAGCGAGAGAGAATCGAGCCGGAAGCGCGGGGAAGGGAGAGGGCTAAGAGTCACGTGTGCGGTGGATCTACTACGATTTACTCGCGGATCCCAGAAGCGTCTACCACCATACCCCCGCTGCCCCGTTATCACCCCCCTTTCCCTCGCCCTCTCGCGCCCCTCTCTTGTTCTCCTTCTATTCTTGCTGTACTACGACGGGTTACTCCACTTTCATTCAGACACGCCGTATCTAAAAATAAAGTTCCTGATTCACGACGCATGAATGACAATCTTATCGCGCGGGGGGAGGGCCTTAAATCACGGAAAAGATACGTTTGCACGGCGCGCGGCGGCTGATCGTCTCTCTCTGTCTTTCTATAATATATATATATATATATATATATATATATATATATATATATATATATATATATATATGTGCACACACACACACACACACACACACA